GAGGGCCGAAAATCAGAGTTGGACTGTAACACCCCCTGCGCCTAGAGGGCAACCATGGCCGAGGAGAGCGCCGACGTTCCCCGGGAGTTGATAGGTAAGGTCGCGCGGAGGCTGTTTCCATCTTCCTCTGCGTCCTCCTCCCCTCCCCTTCCCGCCTCTGCCTCCTGCGGGTCCCCCGAGTCCCCGTGCTCCTTGGGTCGCAGCGGTGGTGGGCAGGGTCGCTGGGGGGCGCCGGGAAGTTTGCGCCCATCTGATTGCTGGGAGAGCCCGAGGCCGGAGAGGGAGGGCGGGGGCAGAGTCGGGCGCCCGGGAGGGGCCGGTGGGCTGGAGCCCCGGGCGCTGGTCCTGCCTGACCCGCGGGTGCAGCCGCAGAGAGCAGGCGGGGGCAGCTCACGCTCCGAAAGCGAGGGAGACGCTTTACGCTGCCCTAAACTCTGCAAAGTCCGGGAAAGCCTGGCACCAGGACAGCCGGCGACAGCACAGCAGGTCGTCCTGGCCCGCGTCGGGCACCCTCCAGAAACGGCCCGCATCCTGTGCCCCCTAGCCGGCAGCCCCGGGAGGAGGACTGCTCCGCGTAACCACTGGGCCCGGCAAGGCGTGGCGTAGAAGGGAGCTGGGAGCGAAAGGGTTACAGGGCTGACGCAAACTCCGGCCAGGAAACTGAGGGTTAATGATAACAGCCTTATTTTAATGATTAACCTACCGATCCCCCCATCTCTTAGGGAACCAGTGTGTGGTACCCGGTGCAAGGTGACCCATTGTTTGAGGCCCTGGAGGTTATTCTCCTTTTGGGGGGGTGGGGCCTGAATTTTAAGTCTTGGGGTTTAACTTAATTATCTGGAGGGTTAAAACGAAGACCTAAATAGGCTGCGGGAGTGTTTGCACGTGTGCGTAGCATGTTGCGTTGTAGCCCAGGGACGGCGTCTGGGTGTGCGGTGTGTTTTGAGCCCTAGTGACCTATATTCCGCACTGTATGGTCGGTCCTTGGCACACTGCGCACCTACAGCTCCAAGGAGGTTGTGTAGTCGGTGCTGGCCATAAGCGCAAGTTCCAAGCGCCCATCATCTCTGTGTGGAACCTGCCCCTCTGTTGCCCTTGTGGCCTTCAGACTTCAGACGACTATGCCTGGCCTTCCCACGGTAACTTCCAACTCGGCAGGTGGAACTGGACGTGAAGAAGCTGTTGCTAGTTTTGTATGGAAATTCCTGCTTTTGCTGAATTAAGAAGAAAAAGAACCCAAATAAACCAGACCCTCTACCCGAATTGAGAGTGTGAAGACTCTTCTGCACACACCCCCTCCCATCACTGTCCCCTTTCTCTCCTCAGTTAGTTGGGTCTCTTCCTGAGACCCAGCCTCAGTCTCTGTTGGAGTGAGTGACCCCTCCGGTTCTGGGAGGCCCAGACCTTTCACGCCCCTACCGGAAGAGGAAGCTAACCCTGAGGGCTCTGAAGGTGCCTCCAAGAGAGGGTAGAGGTTCAGTGTCCCGGAGCCTGGCAGTGAGCAGTTTTGGTGATGAGACTTGGGAAGGAGTAAAGGATGCAGTGGGAATAGGTATCTGGTTTAAACTGATGGTTCTCAAATAACTTTGGCATATTGTAAAAGTTGAGTTTGACCCTTATTTTGAAAGGGAACTTTTGTATCCTCAATGTTGCCTATCTTAGGTATCTCTCAACCAAGCGACTTGCTTTTGTAATATGCCCACGGTGACCTTTCTAGGTCTCTAAGTGGTCTGGTTGGGCTGGGATGGAGAGATTGCTGCCCTTTCTTTCTGATTCAGGTGCTCATGAGAGTTCTGTGGTGAGCAGTTCAAAATGGTGACCAAGGGGAGGCCTAGTAGAGTCTCTCAGTCAATCCCCCAAGGTATCTAAATAATGTGTTATCTTTCCAATTATGAAACCAATAAGGCTTTTTGTAGAAAAAAAATAAGTACAAAGAAGAATAGGGTATATGTGACCCACGTCACCACTCCCCGATAGGTAGGTTTAATCTTTTGGCATATGCCTTCCCGGTTTCTCTCCGTATTCCAAAGTCCGTTCAGATGCCTGTCTCCCACAGTGCCTTCTGAGGGAGGAAGGAATACCCAGTCCTGGTGAGATAACGGCTGCACAGAGGACTCACGGTGTGGGAGCTCGTGGACGTGTCCCCTCCCCTCCACATGCCAACTTGCTGCCTTCCTGGGACAGGACGTCCTGGTGCCATGGTCACTGCACGCTGACAATGCCCTTCTCTCCTCTCCATTCTCATTAACTCAGCAGCGCTGAACTCTGGTGGTGATGGATTCCTGATAAGTCGGTTTGATCACCCCTTCATAAACTTAGTTAATTGTTAAACTACACAGCACACTGTATTTGGTGTGTGATCCAAAACATTAATTGAAACCCACTGTGCAAACAGAGGCAGACACCCTCCTGTTCTCTTCCTGCGTCTCACTCCCCTGTGGACACAGTGGTCTGTTTCCTTCCAGACCCAGCTCAGTGATCCCCTCCTGCCTGACACCCTCAAGTTCTGCTTCTTCCCTGATCCTATGTCCTATGTGTGTATTCACTTAACAGCACCCTCATGGCCTCCACTAGATGGTAAACCGAAATGAAGGGTCCATCTCTCTGGCACCCAGGAGATACCTATGGACGGGAAGTTTTTTGAGTATGTGAATTGGTCAAGGTGATCACATTACAAAACACAGAACTGTGGGGACGTAGAGGAGGGAGCGACGGTTCTGAAGGATAATTAGCGTATGATCATGAGGTGGACAGGACAAGGACATCCCAGAAAAGGAATAGTATCTACAGAGTCCTGGGGGTATGGAAGAGGTGTTGGGGGTGTCAGACCTTTGAACACGCGGAAGACCGAGGTCTGGCCCTTGCTGTCTGAGAGCAAGGCACTCAAGGCACAGGCATTTCGCTGGGAGCCGAAGCGGCAGGTCACCAGTCTGTCTTGAGATGCGTCCAGGTTGGGTGCCCTTCCACGTGTGTCCTTCCTCCAGTTCATCTCTTTGCAGTGCCTTTGAGCTCCCTTGGGTGTTGTGCTGAGACGCTCTTGGAAGGACAGAGGGCAGGGAGTGCCCTTCTCTGCCTAAATCATTTGGGCCAGTCCTGGTTCTGTGCTGTGTTCCCTAACCTTCATGGCAAATCACTCAACTCTTCCTGTGTCGCTGTGAAGCACCCCGGGGCTGAGGGGATTGATGAATTCCCGTAGAGCTTATGGCCTGTGTGGTGGGTGCTCCTCCTCCCCTTCCCCAGCAGTCTCAGGCCATGCCCTGCCCAGCCTGGCACTGTGCCTGTGTTTAATACTTGCTGCAGCATCGTGCCCTCCGTACAAGGGACAGAGTAGTTGCTGATCAAATTTTTTTTTTTTTTTTTAAAAGATACTTATTTATTTGTTTTCAGTTTTTTTTCGGCGGACACAACATCTTTGTTGGTATGTGGTGCTGAGTATCGAACCCGGGCCGCACGCATGCCAGGCGAGTGCGCTACTGCTTGAGCCACATCCCCAGCCCCTGATCAAATTCTTGATGATTAAAAACTATCACGCTTGTTAGAATAAGAAAAAAAAAAAACCCAAAAAACAAAAAATAAAAAAATCAGAATACTCCTCCGAGTGCTATCTCCTCCCTGATGCTTTTTTCCTTATTAATGAGAAAGTATAATGAAATTCTTCTCTACTTTCAGAAAGCATAAAGGATGTTGTTGGCAGAAAGATAAAAATCGCAGTGAAGAAGAAAGTAAAGGTGGAGGTTAAGGGAGACAAAGTGGAAAACAAGGTGCTGGTAAGTCTGGTTATTTGTGTTTCTCCAAATGTTTGAAGTAAAATTTCTATTTCCACCGATGTCTTAATTGGGTGATTTTTTTCACACAGCATTAGTTCTAGTGTTTTATATTCTGTTCAAAAGTTCTGGTGACCATCTTCTTTCTTTCTTTCTCTTCTTTTTTTTTTGGTAGCAGGGATTGAACCTGAGGACCCTCAACCACAGAGCTGCACCCTTATATCTTTATTTTTTATTTTGTGACAGGGTCTCATTAAGTTGCTTAAGGCCTTGCTAAGGCCTTAAACTTGTGATTCTCCTGCCTCAGCCTCTCAAGCCTCTGGGATTACAGGCATGGGCCACTGTGCCCGGCCTGGTGACTATTTTCTTAGATTCTCTTTCTTTTAAAGAGTAAAGTCATTTAAATTTTAGAGCTTGAAGTTTTGTCATTGTATTTCTCAAAGTTGTGACAGGCACCTCTGGTCGGATAAACTGGGGCCTGTTTTTGTATTACTTGAAGTCTGATGATAAATGGAGCTGATTTATCATCTTTGCTGTGGTTGATGATCTGACTTTATTTACAAGGCCTCATGGAGGAGTTTTAAAAAGTCATCGCACATCTGTTTATTTGAAATCTCTCAAATGTTAACCTAAAGGGTGAGGACCTGAGGTTTTGGTGTCTCAGAGGAAGTGCCTGCTGGAGGTGGTATCTGCTTGCATTGCCCATGGGCTTGGGGTTCCCTCCAGTGTGTGAGAGGAGTCTCTGTGGGGCTGAGGGCAGACCCCAGGGCACAAGTGCTCAGGGGCTCATCAGAGACGACTGGTACCTTTAGAGAGAAGAGAAGGCTTTGTGATATTTCAGTGGTTTCTGGGTTGAGATTGTGGCAAATCTAAACTTACTCTGAGTGGAGAGAACATTCTAATTTTATACCAGAAATCTCAAAACATGCAAAAACAGAGAATAGTATTGTCCTGAACTCTCTGTACTCATCACCTGGCTTCACTGATTTTCAGTGTTTTTCCAATATTATTTCATCTATTTCCTGGAGCACTCTAGAACAAACTCCAAGCCTGTGCTGTTTAGAGTAGTTTTTAATGTTCCATTTTTGCAGTTGGAGTTGCTGCAGAATTTGAAGCGCCTTTTGGATAATGTTTGTCTTGAGAATCTTATAAAATTTCTAACTCCAGTGTGTGTTGGTTGGTTTGTTCTGCAGGGCTTCGGTGGGAGGGGTGCTTGTGCTTGCTGGGCGCGTGTCTGCGCTAAGCTGCACCCCAGCCCTGCTGCTGTCTTGTAGCTGTGAGCATCGTGTTGATGGATGACTTCTGTTTCTCTCCTGTTCCTGCAACACAACATGCTCACACATACTCTAATTGAGGTTGCCCAAAGCAGAAATAATTGGTGCCATTGCTTTGTTTCATGAAGCTTTAATGAAGAGTGAATTTTCTTAAATAATGTTTTTCAATTATGTTACATTTTGGAGATGGTAGTATAGACAGAAGAAATATTGTTTTGTTGTTTTAAGTGGAAAACAAATTTTGGGGGACAGTGGCTGCTAGGGCTGGAACTCGTGGCCTTGTGCATTAAGTTAGGCAAGTGCTCCACCCCTGGGCTACACCTTAACCCTGGGTACATTTTTATTGAAGTAGTAACTTTACAGACCCACCTCTGACAGCTCAGATTCCAGTAGTGTTTGCTACAGCAGTCTGAAAAATGGTACTTGACAGTTGGGGATGTAACTCAGTGGTACAGTGGTTGCCTAGCATGTTTGAAGACTTGAATTTGATCCCTGGCATTATAACAAACAATTAAATTAAAATTAAGTGGTATTTGGTATTATATGCTATGAATAGTATTCATTATACTAACAACTAACCCAGGCCATGATTAAAATTTACAATGATGACGTTTCAAAGACAGAATTTGTGTCCAGTATAATTAATACCATTTAAAAATAGTTATGAACTGGGTACGATAGAGCACACCTATAATCTTAGCAACTTGGGAGGTTGAGGAAGGAGGATCACAAGTTTAAGGGCAGCCTAGGCAACTTAGCAAGGTCCTTAGCAATTTAGAGAGACCCTGTCTTGAAATAAAACATAAAAAAGGACTGGGTATGTGGGTCAGTGGGTAAGCACTCCTGTATCAAAAAAGAAAAAAAAAAGTTATGATTAGTATTTACTGCAAAGACTATTTTTTGAGTTGACTAAAATTGTAAACACATCATAAATGTATTTGAATTGAAGCACTGATCTCCTCAAGTCTGGAATTTAGGCAGTTTCTGGAAGCGTGGCCTATACTTGTTAGGCTGTCGTCAACCTGCGTGGGCAGGGACTGGAACAGAGGCCTGGAGGTCTGGCCTTCTCTGACAGGCCTCGGGCTTGAGCTTGGTCTCCAGGTGGCCTTCGCATTGTGGATTTTGGAGTTTTGGAACTGGAGAAGTTTAGCCAGTTCCCATTCTCCTTCCCATACACATCCTTGCCCTTCCCTTGTGATCCTGTCCCCGGCACCTGGGCTCCTTTTCTGCTTACAGAGCTAGGGTGTGGCATGGTTCCTTTTCGCACTCAGACACTCTGCTGTCCCCAGTGCATCTTTTGTATTTATGTCTTCCTTGCTTCCCTGATCCCAGAAGCTGGTCGCTGCCCAGCTGCCCAGTGCCGGGCGGGGCGGTAGCCTGTTAAACGCACACTGCAGCTCCATGGGGAAGGCACGTTTACACCTCCACTTTATGGATGGGAAATAGAGATTTGGAGAACTAGAGTGAGCAGCTGCAGGTCATCCGGGTGCTGAGGGCCCCCACCCAGGGCATGGAACCCAGGTGTTTTGCCTGCTGGGCAAGTGCTCCACTACTGAGCTGCATCCCCCAGCCCCAGCCGGTTAAGGAGAGGGTTGGGATTTGAATTCGGATCTTCGCCATGGAGCTCAAAATTAGCAGGATGACCTCCTTTGCCTCGTTCAGTCTCGCCAAGTTCAAACATTGGTAGAGGAGATTTGGGGTTTTGAGGAAGGATTAGAACTCCATGTCTTGGTTGGATGGGATCGACTTTTGCGTTAGTTTGTTCCATGTTTATTGAGTCTCTGCTCTGTGCTGGCACCTGGGATGGGCAAGGTGGGCATGTCCTCTGACTTGGTGGAGGCTGACGTGTAGCTGAGCAGCAGCATGAAGCCGGAAGCGTGCTGCATGGTGCTCAGCCAGGCGAGGGGCACCAGCTGGAATGGTAAGCATGGGCCTGCCTCTGCCTTGCAGTTGCTTCTCAGGTGGAGGTTGGGGCTGGTTAAACAGGTCTCTTCTTGCCACCTGTTTCTGATGACCTCCATGTGAACTTTACTCTCCTAGGGGCGCAGTGGGGGGGGTAGTTAAGGGCTCAGATTATTTTGGAGTCGTACTTCTCACTGCCACTCGGCTACTTTAAAACACCTTCATCGATTCCTTCTCTAATGAAACAGGCCGGTAGCAGTGTCGTGTCTGTGTAGCTGGCTTTGGAGGTTAGGTGGGACATGTTTAAATACTGGTGAGCATAAGACCTAGTGCATGCAAACACCTAACAAGAGATGTTGCGTAAGGAGCCTGGTCCTGTTTTCTCAGTGGACAGAAAATGTGAGTCCTTTTGAATCCCAAGTATTTATTTGCTGCTTCTGTTGAGTAGCTGAGATCAGCTCGCCATGAGACCATGGGGCTCCTGCATAGTTTGAGACTCCTCATTAGCAGGACAGAGGGCAGCAGACTGTCCTGAATTCTCCAGTGTGCTCTGGTCAAATGATTCTGCAATGCCTGAGTGGCTTGGGAGAAGAGTATTCTATGCTCAGGTAAATTTAGCAACCAGGGTGTTAATGATAGAGAGGTTTCTTTACTGCATGGCTTTTCAGAGACATTCATATGCCCCTGCGCATCATAAATTTTTTAAAGTCAAGGAGGCTGTCTTTTTGTACTTACTTGGCAAACAGCCTAATGATAAAGACTGCAAAACAGGCGGAACAGGCCGGAGCTGGTGCCTCATGAGATGATCTAAAGGAAAGATGGACAGGCTGGACCAGTCACGGCTCCCAGTGTTCTCCCGAGGAACTGTCCTTTAACCTGTGTTTCTGATCTCAGTGGGAGCCAGTGCACTGTCACCAGACTGGTATGACTGGCATCTGTTGCTGTGACACCTTTCTCTATGGTTTTTTGTTGTTTTGGTGTTTGGGGATTCCACCCAAGGGCACTCTACCCCGAGCTTCATCCCCAGCTGTTTTATTGTTCTGAGACATGGTCTTGCAGAATGGCCCAGGCTGGCCTGGAACTTGTGATCTTCCTGCCTCAGCCTCCCTAGAGGCTGGGATGACAGGTGTGGGCTGCTGTGCCAGGCTTTCTGTTGTCTTTGGGAGATGTTTGTAGGAAATGATCCTGTGTTTCTTGGCTTCTTATTCCTTTCTCTCAATTGCTAATTCAATCTTTCCAATTTTTGCTGCACTTTGACTTTTAAAGATATTTTATGTTTTATTTCTATTTTTGAGACAGGATATCATTACGCTGCCTAGGCTGGCCTCCATCTCCTGGGCTCCATGGATCCTCCTGCCTCAGCCTCCGGAGTAGCTGGAATGGCAAGTACATGCCACCATGCTCAGCTAGTACTTGGACTTCTTGAACATGTGTTTTAATTTACTTACATTTCAAATAAACTTCAGTTTTAGATAATACAGAGAGGTTCCTGTATCCTACAGAATCATAGCATAATGCCACCACCAGGACACTGACTTTGAGTGATGCTGTGAAATGTGGGACTTTTCCTTGCCTCAGGGATGCCCTCTGTTACCCTTAGGTAGTCACGCTCCCCCCGTCCCTGACCTCAGGTGGCCACTAGTTTGTTCTCCATTTTGTCATTTCTAGAATGTTCTGTGAATGGGATCATACGATGCCTGCCGACTGGGGTTGGCGTTTCTCACTTGGCAGGGTTCCAAGCCATGGCGGCTCTGTTCCCTATCTCCTGAGGACGGTGCCCTGGTCCGGATGACCCACACTGTTGACTCATCCACCGTGGATGGACAT